GATGAGGGGATTAACAACAGGTGTGCAGGAAGACTCCAGCCCTAGGAGACCCACGGCGCACTCTGCTGGAGACAGAGGGTAATCTCCAGATCCCAGCAGTAACTCCAGTCCTAATGGAAAGAAACACAGAACAGAAGAGGATCCTTGGCGCCCTCTGGTGGGCAAGCCTGAGGATCCCAACAGAGATGTCCCGATCAGCATTTTAGGCCTCTGATCCCGATCCAATCTTTTGACCTCAAATCTGATTTTTAGTACAAATATTATTTTACCTTTTGTAATGAAATTTATAAAACTCGAATATATTTTGAGCAAGTAACTAAACTAATTAGAATAATTTCATCAATAAGCGTTATTATTATCATTGTAAGTCCCATGAAATCTTAATCTTACAGAGAATTAAAGGTCAATGTCAATTTATTACCTCCTCTCTAAATTGCGATGTTGCAGACACCGCAAGTAGCTTTAGGACAGTCTTCACTCTCAAGACTAAAATATGTCCGCATTGGGCGTGCAGGTGGCGCAGTGGTTACGACCCATTTACGGAGGCCTTAGTCTTCAACGTGGCCGACCCAGGTTCAAACCTATTTTCGAAAAAATGAGCCACTAGTGCCGCAAAAACTCCAAAAAATAAATAAAATATGTCCAGATTCCTGAAATGCTTTATTTGCACCTCCACAGAGGTTTGTATTGCACAGCTACTGTCAACCGTAACTGGCAGGTACTTTATGGCAGTTGTTGTAAAGATCGGCATGACTCGTCAGCTAATGTAGCTGAGCTCCAATCAGCGGATAATAGGAAAAGATTGGGCCGATCCGTTCTTGAGATTGGGATATCCCTAAAAAAAACTAGTAATAGTTAATTAATTAGAATTAAGATTTAAGATTTTCTGTGTGAAAATATCCTCAGTTTGATCTGATTCAAACTTGAGTAGAGATTGTGAGGAGTGTTTAGGACAAACCGTGGTTTATGTTTGTAGTGGTTGGATTTTGAAGCCAAACAACCAGTTAGTAATTAGTGTCCCATTGCTGTTTCAGAGACTTGGTGATCCAAGCTGCAGTTCTCCAACAGTTAGCGTTAGGAGTTATTTTTTATTTATTTTTTTGTATTTACTAGGAATTGCACTGCACATTTTGAAGAGTGGCTAAGAGAGTAATTAACCTATGTCATTTACATTTTGACCCCATGAAAAAATTGCAAATTAAATGTTCCAAGATATATTCTCTAAATCTACTGAGGGTTTTTCACACACTGAGACTAAATTCCCATCTTGTGTCCCTTTCTTCCTCGCCACCAATAATACTCCCCAAAGGAGCCGTAAACCTTCAGATCTGTCCTTGTCCGCCTCCTTTACTTCCATTAAATCTGTAATTTCTTGAGGATGACTTTTTGCTAGAGGATGCTGACTTTAGCTAAGATGGGAGAATTGATTTGCTGACATGTAATCTCCAAAAGAAAACAAGATCATTTGTTAAGAGTAGGTTCCTTTCTGATGTTCTCTCTCCACAATGTTTACCGTGACCCATTTTACAGGATGTAAAACACACTGCTTTTCCGCAGGGTATAACTGATATAAAGTGAAGGTACAGCGTTTCAGGGCTATGCATCATTTGCAGCGAACAATGCTTTGAGGAACAAACAGAGTGGTGCATAAAGCAGGGGGCTACAAAGAGAAATCCACTGTTATGTAATAATGTCTGCAAGGCCTGAGATTCTGTAACTGTCCTATTTGCTTCCCGTCACTCCCCATTCTAACATTTCCCTGCAAGCCTTTCCGTGGTCCTTTGAGGAGGGAGCTAGACTTGTTGCATGCAGCAGCCTGGATCATGATGCTGCGAAAGAAGATTCCCATCTATGACTCATAACCATTAAAAGAATTTGTAGATTGTTTCCTCTGATATGAATCAGCTAGAAGTAAATTCCTGTTTGTTTAAAGGTAGGGAAACTTCACAGTTTCTAGACATCTTCATTACTCTTTGTACAAGATTAGATCCGAGGACTGAGATGGCAGTGGAAGGTTAATTTGTTGTATTGAGCAGTTGCTATTAGTGGCTTTTGGATCTTGCTCGCATTTGCATTCTACACCTAATGGACCTGAGGGGTTTGTTGCTGAAAAAGCTCAACTGTCCTCCCATCCGACTGAAGTTCCACATATTCACGTTAGAGAATTAATAGGGCAGAGAAAGCTTTCTGCGTGTTTTCCAAGCAATCAGTGGATATTTATATGGCATCTAATAGTTGGAGAAACAAAGATGATCATCTTCACTGCCGTTCTCTATCAGTAAGCCCTGCAGATTTGCTTTACTTCCTGTATCATCCTGCTCATTGTGAGTCATAACAAGATAAAAATTTCACTCATAGCTCATGAACAACTGTATAAATTGTTACAGCTGAGAAGTTTGATTCGAACACAACAAAATCAAATATTTTTCTTCCGTTCTTGGTTCTCCTTAATAAATATTAATAAATATGAACTGCTTATAGGGAGCTTAATTTGTAAACTGTATAAATCCTGACTGATGGATGTGAAGAGACATCTGTGGAACGTTTGAGTCATAGAGAGAATACCTGCATGAGATCTATTTCAGTGGAAGAAATGGAAAAGTGTATATAAACACAAGCCTTGTATATAAATATATTTTTAATGCACTTCAATATATTTGGTTGCTGCAAAAACATAACTTTAGAAAAATGAAAACAATTTCAAAGAAGTATACCTGATATTTGTATTTAATATTAATTGGAGAAAAATGCATTCTACCGTAGTATTTGGCAGTGCAGGGAAATACAATTCTGGAAAGAAGTGAAATATTTTAAAAATCCTTTAACACTTAAATTATTTTTTTTTAAGCTCATGTCCAGATAATCTTAAGATAAAAAAAACAGTCAACAAACATTTGATAATGTACCTATGTTACTGACAATGATGATAATAAAAATTATACGATGGAACAATTCTAAAGAACCAAAGGTCAGTGGACAGCTTTTAGAGTTATATTCAATCACATTTATATTAAAAGGTTAAGAATATACATTCAATAAATTTGGGAACCCTTCATTTTATCTAAAGAAAGAATAGGTTATAGATTAACTTATATATCCACAGCAAAGTTTACCACTAGAGTTAAGGTAAGTGAACATTATGGACAACACTAAACATCCTCTTTTGAAGATTAATATCTTCAGTCAGAGGGTTTCTCCAGATGTGGTGCAAGACAGACCACTACAGATCTTTTCTGCCTACAGATATAAACACCTACAAGAACTGGTTAAAAAAATACAGTTACCAAAACATTTAATCTCCCTTTGAGATTTATAATATATGTTTTAATTTAATTTGAATTTAACTAATATAATGTTTAGTACCAATGTTGGATACAATAAGGTTAGACGTGGGAGGTGGGTGATGTGATTTGTAGTAATTTTATACTTAATGCACTTTAAATGCTTGTTGTTTTGGTTGCTTTATTTTTTTCTTATATTGTGATACGCTTCATGTTAAAAAAAAAGAACTTGGATATTTTTCTGGTCATGTTTGTCAGAGCTTTGCTTTGGTTGAAGCATCTACAACAAGCACGTTTTTTTCCTGGCTGATATAGATTACTTTTTTCTACCAGCTGTCATTTACTGAATCAAATGACTATTTTAAGAGATTGAGTGTTTAAAGATTGAGAATTAAGGGATTACAAGTATGCATTAAGGTGTTTGTCTATAAACTTTATTGTAATTGTGTCAAATTAAAAAAAGCACATTATGTTGTTGAGTGCATTTATTAGGCATTACATCAAACCAGCATTAAAGCTGTTCTGATTTAATGCATTTCATGATTAGACATATTTTAGAGCCGGTCAAAGAAAAACCGACTGATTCTAATCTGTGGTACATTTTTAATTAAAAATTACTTACTGTAAACTACTTACTGTAGAAAAGGTTAAGTTCATGCAAGCCTTCCTGTGACTCCTCTGAGGGAGAAAAAAGGTTACTGATGAATACTTAAAGTTAATGGGCATTTTAATAAACTTTAAAAATTGGTTTATAGAATTTCTAAAAATCACTAAATACTTAAGTTTAATCTAATTAATACATTCACCAGTACCATTGTTTGTTCCATAGCTATTTTTTCAGTAATAAAGTAGTTTTTCCTTGCTGAATAAATATGAGTAGTGTTTTGTTTTGTCTAGATAGATGAGACCTTTGAATCAAATACATTACATGTAGTTTTGTTCAGTTTTGTATATTAGCTAATATTATATTAGTTTAAAAAATGTGAAAGTTGAGCTTGACATTAAGCTTCCTTAGTTAGATTGTGTGAAACATCTGCAGTGTCTTAGATTTATTTAAGGCAACAGCCAACAAGAGACAGAATCCTGTTCCTATCTAGAGCAGCGAAAGGCACTGAGCTTGCCTTGTGGAATAAAGACTTAAGATCTGTGGTTAAGTAATGTGCAAAGACTTTGCAGAAACCTTGCCTCCTTACGGGTCAGACTAAAACATGTATTGGAGAAGAAAGTATTTATATGAAGGCCTTGCTAAGAAAAGTTGCTTTTGTTTAAGGTTGAAGCAGCACTCCGAGGTTGTAGTCTGCTTATTGTGCCAGAAACTGGCATCAGGGCTGTTGCTTAGTAACCAGCACTGTGGATGCTGGCAGTGTTGTAACAATGAAATCTCTATAACCCAACTCAAAGTTCTACATAGCTAAAACCTTTGGCTCATGATACGATTAACAGCTCTCTGTTTCTTTTTTTTTTTTTTTTTTCACAGCTCCACAGGCAGATCTACCACATGCAGGTGACAGTCCCGTCTACGACGGTGGGCTACAGTCGTTTCAACTATTCCTTCCCCTACCTCTGTCTTCCTGACGACAAGAATGTCTGCATTGTCGATGACATCATCCGGGCCATGGAGGAGATTCAGTCTGCCAGAACTTCAAACCGAACCGTCCCCATTTTACGCTACCCCATCACACAGTTGGCGGATGGAAGACAAGCTTACATCGGCCACCAGCTGGGCGGAGTGCAGGGTTGGGGTTCCAGCGGTGGGGTTAAGGTTCAAGGCACGGGGGGCAAAGGGGAAGGTGTCCGTTCTGCAAAAGCAGTGCAGCTCACGTATTACCTACAATCTCGAAGCGAGCTTATGGACCAGGTAGCTGGTCGATGGGAAAATGCCTTTTGTTCTGAGCTGAAGCTCTTCGGGGCATCACACCCGAAGCTGGGGCTTTATCCCTCCACGTCGTCCTCCCTACGGACAGACTTCCAGTTCTCCTCTGTGCTGGCACGTCGCCCCCTGATGGCAAGTTTAGGAGTCTGCGGGGTGCTGGCCATCCTTTGCTGCTCCATGAGAGACTGTGTGAGGTCCAAACCCTGGTTGGGACTCTTAGCTCTGTTGTCAGTGGCTCTTTCAGGCCTCACTGCTGCTGGGATACTGAACCTAACAGGAGCTACCTACAACTCCACATACCTGGGAATACCTTTCGTCATGCTTGGTAGGTATTAGAAATGTTTTTTCATTAAATTAACTATTTTTCGTTGGCAATAGTTGCCTTTATTTATGAAGAAAACTAGCAGGAAAGGGGTCTAAGGCAGGGAGACGATATGTAGCAAAGGGACTTTAACCCAGGAAGGCTGCTTTGAGGACTGAGGACTTTGTCCTGGGCCAGGAGTTTCACCCCAACAATCTCTGTTCACATTTAAGCAGTTTACACAGCTGTATCACTAACAACAACAATTCATTTTAAAAACGGTAGGTTTCTATGTGACAGGCCCGACATAAAGAAGTGCATAAATCGAAAGTAATGCATAGTTTTCCAAATCAATTCTCCATGAAATTTGTATTCATTTATTTTTTTTATCTAATCCAGTTCAGCCATTTAATCTCAGAATTTGCCTAATTAGTATATGAAGAGCATTATTGTGGCTGTTCTAAAAAGCTCAGAAAATTAGTAAACCTCCAGCATTATATGGACCATGAGGCATGGAAGAAATAGAGAACATCTCACTCTGAGCACTGATCAGTCCTTCATTTGCATCATGAGATGCAAAAATACATAAAAAATAAAAATTAAAAATTAAAGAAATTATTAACTGACTGAGGAGGGAAGCAGAGTATTACTGATATTCATACAATCCAAGAGTCTCATGGTATCTCTGGATGAGCTACAGAGGTTTGCTGCCCCAAAACAGATAACTTAAATCAATGGGATTAACAAGCCTCCTTAGCCATTGATATCTGTTGAGGAGGCAAAGCAGTTACTTGATTAAGACGTGCCTCACACCAATACATCTAAAGAATTCTGGTTCTCAGGACATTGAGGCCCGAGGACCCCTGCTTTAGAAGACCCTGCTTTATATCTGCAGTGGAGTTTGGTAATAAGACGATGGGCCACAGAAGTAAAAATGGACACCTTTTCCTGTCACTTTAAAATTACGGCTTCCTTTGTTTTAATTAATAGTCTTGCAAAGCATATTCATTCTCAGCCTGTATTCCTCTTCTGAAAATTTCTGAGATTTACTTTCCATCCCTGTGGCTGAGAGTCGTCACAAGGAAGACAGATCATCAAAATGAGTGACAGGCTGTAGGACCGGAACCTACTGAGTGGGTGGAGGATGAAAAAAAAATGACACATTTCTTACTTGAGGCAGTTTCAGAACTAAAGCAAAGGTAAAAACACAGAGTTCTGGTGTTGCAGCAGTTTAATACGAGTTTGGAACAGAGGCAGAGTAAACAACAAAAGGTTTTACAGATTCAGTTTGAATGAAATACCACCATTATGTTGCTGAACCATTCATGTGGGCACGGGTCAGAGATCATTTGTTTGTAGAGAGCTTTTTCTGTGCTTTAGTCGCCACATGTCCCCTCTTTATTGTTTTTAAAATGCTGCTATTAGTTATTTTTTGGCCTAATTCAATGCTTTCCTGCAGGGTAAACTGGATATTTACTTCTCCACTAACTGATCCCGTTTTCTGCATGCTGAGCTGAGCTGTAGCGTGTTTACCATCAAACAAGGGTGACGCATGTCGGATGTTGGCAGATATAATGAGCAGAGTGTCAATCAAAGCTCAGATCGAGGAATATTAAACATGAGTGGATGAACATGGTGTACTGTCTGTGCACTCATAATATACAGCATTCATTAACCGATTCTTTTCTGATGAATTAATTTACATTTATTTTACATCATTCAAGCCTAACATCTTTTTCAAAATAATTTCTTTAATCTAGTTTGGTTTCTCACTTCTCATATCCAGAGGAACGAGTGGTTGATTTGTTAACAAATGTCCTGCAGTCAGACTTTGTAGAACCACCTTTCATTGTGAGTAGAGTTGCAAGTCTTGGGACTTTTGGGATATGTCTCCACCAGCCTTATTCTGAACCCTTACCAGTTTAGGGAGCTCTCCCCCTATCTCTAAGGTAGAGTCTCCCTCAACTCTACAGAGAAACTTCTTTCAAATGCTTGTATCTGGAAACAGGGGAGGATCTAGCAAATTATGTATGGGGTTATGAGAGGGGGGCAGGAATTTTTGAGGGGTGGCAACATATGGCATTTGTTTACACTGAATTTAATCACAGTTATCACAGTTTGGTGAGAATAGTATGTACAGTAAGTGTTTCATGTGAAGCAGTTTATATTAGAAATACATCGTACAATGTGATCTCACTTAATAGGAGATAGAAGAATGATAACACTACTTCTAGAGGGGCATTATCACAGGAAAGGTATTAAGGTAAGACACAGGTGCTGAGTCGCAGATGTGTGAGACTGACTGTCAGAGAGGCAGCTTTGCAGCATTTACACAAGAAGAAACTACAGAAAGAAAAACTTACCCATCAGAGATCTATGGACTGAGCTGTACTAAAGTGAGCATAAATACACAGTAGAAATAAATGGGTCAAGGCACCCAAACAAGGTACCAGACATCCATGTATTGTTTACTCTGAAAACACATTTACCCCATTTGTTCCTCAGTAACTTGACATATAGCACTTACAGCAACATGAAAGGGACATTTCATGCATGTAAATATTCTTTAGATAGAGCTGCTGTATCAACAAATCAACAAAAAGGCAGGTACTGTATGTTACCTCCAAAACTCCACAAATCTGAAAAGAAGCAACATAAAAATACATTTTGCTTCCAGTCTGAAAAAGTACAAAAACTGTTGTGAGAAGGTTCATACAGGTCATTTCTGGATAGTTTCATACTATATATACAAAAAAAGAAACAACAACACTGCTTCATATTAAGCAGGATTTACACCAGAATCACATTTTTAACTTTACTTTCAACACTTTTGGTTTTATTAAAGGAAATATCAGATTTTCTCAGGTGCCAAAACAAAATGTAACAGCTCTGTAAAGGCTCACCAGAGAGCATAACATAAAGTTGACATGACTATAACAGCTGAATGCGGCGATTTCCATGTTGCTCAGCAAAACGCTTCACTACTTTATTTAGATCCAATGCCTTTGTGCGTTTTTGATTTGAGTACAACCAAACTTGATAGTCTCTTTTCTCTCATAGTTGACCGCAAATATGTCTTTATGAGCCTGAGACGTCAGGCCTAACTAACATCATAGTTAGAGAAATAACGTTCTGCAACCTGATTTTTATCATCTCAAAATCAGCATTGCAGCTATGCTAGCAACATTGTGCTTTCATTATGGTTTAATTTCTCAATAGATAGTTAATCAGTTTTTACCTGTTTCATCCCATGTCTCCTCTCCCCATGACCCCTGGCTCCCTCGCTTTGCCTCATTCGGTTTTCAAAACAAAACAGTCTCAGTCGCTCTGGCGTCATCTCATGCTGCATTCACTGCAGTCCGACATTAGAAATTAGTGGTCGTAATTCTCAAATTATCCATAATTTATAAGCCTCGCCACCCCTACCGCCAACTGGGGTGGCAGCAGGGGTGGCAAGGCTGTCAGTTAGGGTGGCAGTTGCCACCCTATGCCACCCCAGTAGATCCGCCTTTGTCTGGAAACATTTTTCTTTCAGTGACATATCTCATTGTTATGGTTGAGGGTCCGAGGTCCAGAGCAAAACTTGACCTGTAATGGAAAACTACAACGAACTGTAGGATGGGTTACAGATGGACAAGGAACTGAGTATGGAGAGTACATCAACAAAGTACATAGTTTTGAACTTCAGATGAAATAGGAAAAGGTCAAACACTTTCCATCATAGGAGAAGAAGTGGAGGTGGTGGGCGGGTGTAAATACCTTTGTGTTCTTCTGGAAAACCGACCGGATTGGAGGGCAGCTTTGAAGCTGTTAACATGAAGGTACGGAGCAGATGGCACTTCTTAAGCTGGGTCTACACTTTACGTGTTTTTACCCTTTTCAGACAGATGCTGTAGCCATTCGAGAATTTTTTGGATCGGACCAAGTCACTGACTCATTGTGTGTCCTGCGTTGTGTAGTATACAGGGGGTAACGAAGGCTGATCTGCCTCTCATGACTAGGGATGGGGATCGAAACCCGGTTCTATCAAGGACCCGGTTCCACTTTTTTCAAAACCCGGGCTTATCGATACCACTATCGAGTCTGGTCGTTTTTTTTTTGTTCTCCCGGAGGTCCTGTAACATAATTGTGTGTCCCTCGAGTCGCGTCACAGCATTTAAATCTAGTCAATCCAATCACTGCAGCATGTCCACCAATGTTTTGGAATAAAATTGTAAGCAAACAGATATTAAAAGTAAAACAAGTGAAGTCTGGCAGTTAACTTCGCTCGCGACTGGGGGATGGCTGAACGGACGAAAAAGTCTAAAGTTTGGCTTCATTTTACCAAGCTCAAAGATAAAGAAGAAG